AATTGTATCTACTGTCCAACACCCATTTGCAGACAACTTCCAGTCCAAAACAAGAGGACCTCTCACTTTATCTCAACAGGAACCTGTACCTGCAAAACTATTCAGATTCCATTAGTTACATTGATCATTTTGTTGAAGGGTTGTTTAAAAGATTTTTTATAGAAAGTAAGAGAAGTAAAAATACAAATTATTTAGAATTGGCATTTTTTACTCTATTGTTCTCTAACTTGAATCATCTGTAACTCAAAGTTTTTTCCTGCCTCTTGGAGCTTCAAGTTAGAGAAGTTTTACTGTAATAATACTAGTAATTATTAAAGACTTAAATTTAACAGTATTTTGCAGATCAGACAATGAGTGTCTCAGAAATGGCAAACTGGACACTTGCCTCTCTCTGGATCAAGTAAAAAATTCCACAGATTATAATTATAAAAATTATTGAGATATGTAATCTTACATCTTTGACCATTGGTTGCTTTGTTTGTCTTTCTGTGTTTATGCAATACAGTCAACCCCCCTATAACACTGTTGATAATTCCGTTTTATATGAATTCCATGTTGTACGAGTCACTTAGATTTTACAAATATGTGTGCTGGGCTGTGAATGGCTCGCGTATTTGTAAAATCTAAGTGACTTGTAAAAATGGAATTATCAACAGTGTTATAGGGGGGGTCGACTGTACTATATTCTATAATCTACTGTGAAAAAACCCCTCAAAAATTAAAATTATTAAATAAAAATTTATTGACATAATTATTTATCTCCAAGCTTTGCCCCTCCTCCTGGAAAATTTTCTGCAGACACCCCTGCAAATGACTATTAATTCATAAATTGTTATTAATAATATTGTATTTGTTATTAATAATATAAATTGTTATCATAAATATTTTCCCTTCTCACATACTTCCTGCTCTTGTGTTCTATGGCAGCCACATTAGATTTGCCATCCTAGAGTTTGATGTCTCAAACAGATTTTTGGTGGTTGCTATTATTATTATTTCTAAAAGAATACTTACTACTATTTAATAGATAAAACATAAAAAAGTATGAAAAAGTTTAGAAAAAATGAGAAAACAAAATGAGATTACCTGCTGGACCACTTCAATAATATATTTGGTATTCCAAATAAAATTTTGGTTGCCTTGGACAATTGACAACTGCTAATTCCAAATCATAAATAATACATTTATATTTTGACTTATTTATAGAAAAAGATGGTATTTTAGGAATTGCTATACATTTTAACATTATCTTGTTAGGAAAGGATTGTCAGCTTGGTATTATTTTTCTTTGCATTTATATCTTCCATATGCTCCATTCTATTTGATTTGTATCACTAACATTTTAGCTTCAATATAATAGTCATTTGTTGCACTGACAAAAGGAATTTTGTAAGCTCAAAGAATCTATTTTTTTATTATAGTTATTTGTAATGATGGAAACAAAGCAGCTGTCCAAATTGTATTTAAGTACGATTTATAGGTAGAAGATATCTTGGAAAATGACTTTAAATCATTGACCAGAGCTAAACTTTGTTTTTGGAAATAAAGCATGCTGAATTTATTTTAATTAACGTACAAAAAATACTAGCTTATATGTATCTGGATGCAAGCAAGGCTGCTTTTATGATATTCAACTTCATTTCTAATAGTTGCTTTGTTGAAGTGTAAAGGAATGCTTTTTTTAAGAATGGAATAGAAAGTAGCATCTACATAAGGCTTACACTGAAGAAGCAAAAATGTATCTGGAAAACAGATGATGTCTTAATTAAATGTACTGTACTACTCAAGGTTTGATTTAGGAGATGTTATATACAGCAAACATGTTTGACATTCAAGATCAGTGTAACTAATAGGAATGGGAACTATGTGATTTAATGGAGTTTGAATATAAGATGATAGTAGATGCCAGAATAGGAGAGATTGATCTTGAGAACAGTGGTTAAGGTATCTTGTATTAGCAAGTTCAAGAAATTTATTGGGAATTTGTTTTTTTCTCTTGTTGGAGAAAGTAATGTATGCTTTAATGGAAGCTAAAGTCTGCTCAAAAGAATTAAAATGTCCTTTCCAAGCTATGAGACAAGTATGTCATCTACATATCAAAAATAATCTAAAAGATATGTATTTGTAAAGCTGGGTTTATATGTAAAAAGTAACTCATTTAAGATACTTGTAGGTAAAAATTATATATGAATTATTTATACATATGTTTTTTCATACAAGTGGAATGTAAGTATAAAAAACCTGGCTTTAGAGAAATGTCAGTATGGCAATTTTAATTTCTGTTATAATTTTGGCTAAAGGACTTTACTTTCAAAACACACTATTTTTTAAAAGTAAAGTGTTTCATTGATTTGGAAGTAGTTTGAACAAGTAAAACGGCAAAACAGTATTTGGGACAAGACTATGTCTCGGAGACAGAATCACTTTGATGCTCAAGGCAGGTCTCGTTCTCATTCTCCTATCTTCTTTGATATTGCTGCTTTTGGGTGCGATCGTTCAAACTTCGCTGGCCACATCCACGATGCATCTTCTATGAAGTTAACCTATCTAGTTTCAAAATTTCTCTCCGTTGCATGTAGGCCTGGGTTGAATTTTTGTCGATGCATAACGAAAAGTTCTTGTTTTTGAAAAAAATAATTGTGGCTATTGTATCGTCTGAAATTATTTTTTTATTTTGCACAAACAATATACAGTTTAACCCAATTATAATGTCATCGAATGCAACGACAACCCTAATATAACGTCAAATTTTTATTGGTCCTACAATTTTACTATACTAGATAATGTTAAAAAAAACCCACTTGTAACGACATAAAACCATTTTAACGTCATATTTGAAGCACTCCCAAAAATTACAAAATTAGATTACAAATTTTATTTAACATAGAAGAAACTATGTGTTCAGTCCTAAGGTCAGAGTTCACTTCTTAGAATGACTGCTGGTGGTACTCTCCCCTACCTGACTTTGGTGGGGTGAGGTGGCTGTTTTGCCTGTTTGTAGAAGAGGGTTGCCATTTTGTATTTTATTTTGACTCAATTCTCGGTCCCCTGACTACCTATGAGTCTGGATTTTTTATGCGCAAATGATTTGGGCACCTAATACTCTGTGCCAAATATCAACTCTCAACATGTACTCCTTCATACCTCTATGCTGATAAGAACATCAGGCAGTACGATTTTATAAACAAGTGTAGTTCCTAAGGATCACCAAGGTGATCCAGAACGTGATGTGAGTAAGAAAGTGAGGACTTTACAACGAATTGGGATAAAAGAACTTTATATATAACTAATACCATACAACAGACATGAATTAATTTCTCTTTTTAGCATCAGACTCACGTAAACTCCGTTATTCCCGATATTACAATCTAATCCAATATTCATGAGCCCCGTTATCAATCGCTCACGGAAATCTTACAGATGAATTACACTGCAGATCCGCACCACAATAATTCACATATCTAGTCGTCTCCCTTGTAAGTAGATGATGTTCGAATGGAGTTGTGACCACGTGGCAACTAAAAGAAATTCTCTCCTCGGATCGAAATAATGGGTTGTGAACAACAGGTTGACGGTGTTCAATTATCTGACCTAAATCAGACAATTCCCTAAAGTCCGCCGAGTCCGATGTAAACCGATTGCTTCACTTACTATTCACTCCGTTCTAACTTACTGCTTCTCTGTCCTTCGCAGGTTCGGTTTCCGACTACCTTCGTCCGTTTCCTTTCGCTTTCCAGCCTTCACACAGGAACCAGCCCAAAACCAAACACCAACTCTCCTCTTGTCACTGGTCACCCCTTTTTATCCTTTTCTCCAAGCTCCTCCCTTCGCCTCCATGTGGTCACCAAAGGGGCCAATCATGGCACTTACAAAATCCACCATAAGGTGGCGCGCGATACAAAATATTTGAACCGAACAGACAAAGAACACGAGAACCCGAACAAAGGCGTAACAACACACACATATCAAAATATAAAAAAAAAAATATAAAACAATACAAGTGCCTAACACTACACAAGACATAGTCTTGTCAAAAACAGATAAGCTTTATTAATTTCATGATTGCAATATTTATTGTGTAGGTAAACTTGAATGCATCATATGCTTTCTAGCGTTATTTAGTCTTTATTGTATGCTCTTAAATAAATTATTTATTTTCTGTAAGTTTTGCTTTACTGTTATTTTTTAATTGCTGTAATGTGGTGTTTGATTTTTAATTAAAAATTTTCTTCTTTTGCTCCTTAAAAACTAAAGCCTAAATGCTTTGGAAAAAGTACTTTTTTTAAGTTAATTTATAGCTTTTTTTAATTAAATGTTGCCTTTGTAATTAGAGAGAAACAGAGAATTGCAGTTACTTAATGTGCTGTTTTGTTTGTTTTATGTAGGACCAATTATTTTTCATATAAGAAACTTTGAAAAATTTAAGAATTATAAAGAATTACACCCTACTTTTATGATAAGATATATGTTCTGTTATGATTATATGAAATGTCAAAATTTTTTTTGTTGGCCATCTTAATTAAAAGTTGTACAATTCAGATTATATTTTCAATAACAAAACTGTAATTTATGATGATGAGCTGATAGAAAAGCTCACATAATGGATTTTCAAGAACTAATGAATTCATGAAAGTGAGGATCTAGTTTTATTTTTCATAAAGTATGTAGATCAATAATTTTCAAATTGCAGATTTTTAGATTCCTTATGTCCTTGCTTAAACTTGAAAACAGAGTTAGACATGAAAATTGAGATCAGATATGGAAATTTTGGGGGCCAGAGATTGGATTAACTGTATATGAACTTTCAGTCTGCACTGGAAGTCTTGCAATTTTTTAAATTAAAATATGATTTAAAAATTGTAGCCTGGCATGTTTATTTCTAATTGGCTTATTATCATCTCAAAATTTGATCTTGTAAGGTTACAAAAAATAATTTGAATATTTATTCTATAAAATTGAATTTAGATAATTATTAGCATTTATTATTTTTTTTTTTAAAGGTCCTTGGAAGACTTAAGTGATCCAGAAGAAATATTACCAGACAGCTCTAATCAGACATCAAGTTATAGTCAGTAAATTATAAAATTTGATTAATTAGTTGAAATTATGATTATATTAAGTATATGTTGATTTTTTTTTCAGATGTTCCTGAAATTAGTAGTAGTTTATGTCTTTTGAGGCATAGAGAAAAACTTTCCAGTATTGATGAAAAATTTCTAGCTACACTGATGGAAAATTCTAGAAGTTTAGCACTTCCCCCTCAGCTAAGTGCTACAGAGACATTTTTTGCAAGTTTAGTGCCTTATGTTGAACAGTTGTCTCTTTCTGTCAGGCTTCGTCTTCAAGAAAAAATATTAAGAATGGTTCGTGAAGCAGTAGAAGAAAATTCATGACCTTTAATAGACACAAGAATCACAAGTATTTGAATATTGTTGTCATACATCTCAAATAATGATTTATCAGTGAGAATAATCTTATTCTTTTAACATTTTAAAACAACAGCAACATTTCAAATGTTATCATGACATTGAAATTCATGTAAAAGTTAAAATTTTTTTTTCTAATTTTTTGATAATTTAAAGCTGGAA